TAGTGTATTTAAGCTCTGATAAATGTGACCGGCTAGCATAGTCCTGAAATGGAACTGAAGTAGTGAAAGCAAAGGTGTGCTTCAGGACGTGCGAGGTTGGAAGTGAGCAAGCAGTTCCCTGATCACACGGGGTATTTYGCTGACTGTGTGTTGGTAGCTTGAAAATCCTTGCATACTGCAAAGGTTTTCCTTCAGTAAGAAGGTATACCAATAGGAAGATGACAATATTTTTATTTCTGGAATGAGATCACACTTCACTTTTAAGCATTMATTTTGGGAATCGCTGAAAAGAGGGAGGGCAAGTGGGCTGATATTGAAGAGGTGACTTGTCTGTGTCTCACTTTTCGTGCATTGCTGGGCTTTGAGTTGTTCTTTYCATGCAGTAGTGGGTGTGGTGCTGTGCTCTGCTGATCCAGGGCAAAAGCAGACTGTTTGAGTATGTGGTTGGCTATAACCACAGAAATATTTCCCAGGGAATGTTTTTAGTGAGTTAATAGCATGGCAGGTTGCTTATATAACACCCTAAATTAAACATAAAGGTACCGCATTTGGCCAGTGTGAGTGAGGTGGTTCTGATGCATCTGCTGCTTTATCAGTTTGTTGCRAAGTTATAGGTGTGTGTTCCTTAAAATCTGAAGTGTAGTATACAAGCTCCAAGTAGCCCCATATCTGTCACCTAATTTTGCTTTGCATCGTAGGACATTCACATCCTCTGAAATGTTATTAAATGAAATACAAACTTGTCTGGCAAAAAGTGGCTTGAGTATCTGCTTAAATAACCAGCATTCATAATTTCATTGCTACTTACGCTGCTGCCTCTTGAAATGTATAGAAAAAGAACAAAAAGAGGCTTTAATTGTGCATAAGTATATGCAAATGATTCAAGTAMGCTTAAAGAGAAACCTTGATACTGTCTTCAGGGGAAAAAAGTTCTAATTTATAGATAATATTTTTAGGTTTTAACTTACAATTTATGAATGTAGTTTAATTATTCCAACAGTCTCCATAGCTACAGCCAGCTCGTGTTTGATTAGCGCAGACAAGGGAAGATCTCTTACATTAAAAGTGAGTCTCTCTTAAATATTTACTTTACAATTACTGAAGGCTCTGTCAAGACAGAACTAAAATTACCTTAAGTAAAATTTTAACAAACACTGTACTTGCAAGTAGTAGTAGGAAGTTTTTTGCTCCTTATTCTTTAATTAATATCTTGCTAGGGGCTTGCCATTTTCTCCCTCTACACCCCCCCTTTCTTATTCTGTAAGTGCAAGAATAAAATTTAAAATTTTCAGATTACATCTTTGTAAGACTCAGATTATGTGAGTAAACAGAATTATATATACGTGGGCTTTTCTTTCTTATTGTTTTTCCCCTTCAAGCCTCTCTCTAGTGTGCTATGGAATCRCAAAATAGCGGGCACTACATAACCTTAGGAGAACTGTGTGAAATACAGGTTATACAGGGTCATTTCAATGGCAATGCTTTTCAGTTGATTTCAGTGAACATAGAATTTAACTCTTATCCAATACCTTTTTTATATGACCTTTCTCTCAATTGTAATGACAAAGTGTATTTTCCGAAGGGATTTTCTTTTTTAGAGTAGTTTGCATTTTCTATATAGAACGTACATCATTTCAGCAGTGACCTGCAGTTTTGTACGCCGAGCTCGTGATCAGGAACTTCTGTGKTGTCCTGAAGGCAGCTCAGGGAGATGAATCTGAAAGCAAATTTGAGAAGTCTATATGAARTAAAAGGTAAAAGAACTGTAGCTTTAGAAAAGAGGCCCTTACTGAAGTAGAAATGAACTTGCTGTACTTGAATACAGGAAATCTTAACAGTTGAGAATTTCTGTCTTTGCATCCCTTTTCAAGGAGAGTGGCAATTCTGAGAATGTTTTTTTGCCTTTTTTTTATGCCTTTTTTTTTTTTTTGCTTTTTTCCTTTTTTTCCCCTGGAATTTCTTTGTGAAGTACTAGTAATAGCTTGTAAGAAGTTTAGGCTCTTGCTAGCAGCAAGGCTAGCACAACATTGAGTGAAACAAGCTGTGCAGCTGAATATCAGCGTTGCGGAGTGGAGAGATCAGTTGCATGTGGTCAAACGTTCCTGTGCATATGCACCTGCTAGGGCTGCACAAATATTGCTAGTACAGAGAAGGCTATATATGTTTATAAAAAAAAAAAAAAAAAATCTGTCTACTTTTCACCATGAGGAGTATAATCCTGGGCTGTTGTAAGGGCTGTTACCATCACTGTTATCTCAGTATAAGGTCTTTGTGCCCGATTTGGAAGGACAGAACTCCAGCAGGGTAAGAAAAGCTGAAATTGGGTCCAGCTGGGGAAAATGAAGCCTCACAAACCGTGCCCAGAGGCAGTGCAGCAGGCCAAAAGGGAAGGTGAGGAAAATAACTGGTAGAAGGCATCAAAACTAACCACGTCTGTGAGGTGTTTGCTGAGGCTCTTTGCTATTGAAGGTGGAAAAAACGAAGGCCAAGCAGGTAGTGCGCTACAGAAAAATATGGAAAAGATGAGATTTTTGTGCAGAAAAAAATGGGGAAGAAGGTCCATGGTGTTGTGAGCATGGAGTTGTCTGTGAGCACAGGAGCTCCTGGTGCGATGTGRCAGTGCTTTCCTTGGTGCCCAATGCTGCCCGCACTGCTGCGCCACAYCCCTTGGAGCGGGAGAACTTTGTGGAAGGGGCCGTGGCGGGCACAGAGCACTGGCCGCTTCTGGGGGAGCGCAGTTGGGCTGCGAAACGGTTAAATGGACCAAGCCCCTGAGGAGCCTGCTTGTCTTGGAGCTTGGAAACGTGGTATTTCTGTGCTCACTGCAGCAGCGAAGCAGTGTCCCATGCCTCTGGTGTGTCCACTGTTTGGATCATCGCCCTCACGAAGCCTCGGGCATCGTGCGACAGTCCAGATGGGTGCTCTGCCTAGACTACCATCCACCCAGCATGCTACTTGTAATTAAGGGCTTGTAAATGTTACCTCTGGTTTTGAAGTTTTGATCCCTTAGAGGACTGTGAATATCAAGTGTGGCTACTCTTGCTTGTATGTGTTTAGAAATGTGCAAAATCTGAGGGGGTGGCTCAAGCAGCTCTGTTCAGCGGGTCTCACGAGGTAACTAGGGCTTTGCCTCTACCTAAGGTTATTTCGGTTATGTGAAACAGCTCTTCCTGAAATGTCAGCAGGCACGAATGCCCTTGTTTGTGCTTATAAACATCTCATGTGGTTTCCCAGGTGCTTCCCTGCACTGTTTGTTTGCAATCAGCAAAACCCTAGTGGTGTTTGTGCGGCCGGTCCCTTTCCCCAGCGCCACYGCGTTGCTTTGCTGAAAGCTGCTCCTGTGCCACCTCTTCAGCAAGGCGCGGGGGAAGCCCAGCATCTTCCTCTGCAAAGGGAGGCTGGAGAGTTTATTCTCCTTCCCTCCATTGGAAACTTTGAATTAAAATWTTTTTTTTTTTTTACTTTGGGGAAAAATGGTTATTTACCAACTTGGGTTGTGGATTTTCTTTATGGGGTTTTGAGAGAGAACTTTCCAAGTTCAGGACTGTTAATCCTACTTCACTTAGCCTGTGTGAAAGGGAAACCTTCTGGTTACCAGTTTTTATGAAGATGTATTAAAAATGAAAAACTGGTTGTTTTGAAAGTTTGTGGAATTTAAATATTTYGTCACTTTTCATAGTTATTTTTGAAGAAGGCTGAAAATCTCTTCAATCCTCATTAATACACATTTATTTATCCAGATATTCTTACAGAACTGAGACTATTAATTTTTAGRTGTGTGTCTTCTTAGCTTTTGTTTTTAATTCGGATAGTGTTATTTTGTATCTTTATGAGTAGAAAGAGATGGAATGTGTGTGCATGGTTCAGGTGCGCGGGTTTCCAGGCGCCGTGAGCTTGACGTCAGTCCTTTGACGGTTGCTTTTGCAGCAGGAAGCAGAGTGTTTTATGATGAGCTGCCCAACGTATAATGAGGAGTTATCCTACCATGTTAGTATCAATACATTGAATACATTGATACATTGAATCTTGGTTCTTGTTCCAGTGAAGTGAATGACAATTTAATTAGGTTTTGAGAATTAACATCTCATGAGGGATCATTCCATGGAAGTTGTCCGCTCAAAAAATTGCGCTTCATGAGTGAAATCCCATCTCTAGTGAAGAGGACTCAAGTGGTCTCAGATATTCATTTTCCTTTTTGAAAAATTCAATTTATTGTTGCTTAATCCAAGCGTTGAAGAGAGAAATTGGAAGATGGGAATGGTAGCTAACCATGACATGTTGTCCATCTTACTGAGTCTTGTCGTTAATTACAAACTCTTAAATGATAATCACCTTAATTTTTAAGTWGAGTTGGGGGAAGAGGAAGCCTATGGGAAACATACTAACATACAGATTAAGTACTTGAAATGAACAACCTGTGATATATTTTTCCTTTAAGAATAACAAATGCTAAGCCAGTTTTGTGACTTTGGAATCAAATCAGCATTGTCCTTAGATTTTAAGGTTGCTACTTGGTAACTATTTTTACTTATTTTTCATTTTCAAAGTTTATATATTTTATTTATAGACCCTAATTCAGTAATTAATATGAAAAAATAATCTACTGTTATGGTAAAAMAACTTAGAACAGTAGAGAGTGAGCCTACAATTGATTTCTCCGGAGATGTTAGATGTTTCTCCATAAAATTGTAGGGTAGTAAGCCAAAATAGGTATGCCTACCTTTCCACAGACATACTTACGGAGTTAGAAATTGTGCTGCACTTTATTGCTGTCTAGTTCAATGTTTTTGCCAATATTTCCAAATATGAGACTTATTTTGTGGATATTTTTAGTGGCATTAATTGAAAATAATGTCGCCACATTGAAGTTTGCTTGCTCTTTTGCTTTTGCTGTCTTCTAATTATTTGTATTGTCTTAATCAGTGATACTGACACCAAATGTAATGTTCTGCATTTAGGCTTTACAGCATCTCTTTCCTTTTGTTTTTTTCCCTCTGTAGTTACTACAACGTATTCCACTGAGCGATCTGAGCACTTTAAGCCATGCAAAGACAAGGATCTTGCATATTGTCTCAATGAAGGGGAATGCTTTGTGATTGAAACCTTAACAGGATCACATAAACACTGCCGGTAAGMCATTTACTATTCTACTTTTTTTAAAAAAATAAGAAAAGAGAAATGAAATAAATAGAATTTTAAATATATAAAGTAATGGAATTTATCCTAGATTGTTGTATGTGTCATGGTTTTTATGCTAATACATAAAAGATCTTTCAAATGCTCTGCCTTCACCAAATTCTTGTTTACTCACTGTGATGAATTAACATTCTGTGATGTTCTGACTAAGGACAGGGAGCTCTTCCATCCAAGCTCCTCTCCATGACTCCGTGTTCTTGTTTAGTTTTCAATTTTCCTGGTAAAGTGGAAACTTTCAATATCTTCTCTTGATTTATTCTTCASTGTGGTACTAGGAATATCATTTGCAAATATTCTAGGTCCTATGTTTAGACTTTTATATTTAGGCACCAATTGTACAAATTTTGGGCACTGACATGTTCTCTGGGAGTTAAATACCTCTCTATTTCAGTTGGSACTTTGAAGTGAGGGCCACTAAAAGATGTGTATATGGCCATAAAGATTTTTGTAGCAAGAAAAGATGCTTATTAAAATTTGAAAGCATATGAGTGATAATGCTTAGTTCAGTTCTGCAAGGACTTTAACACTAAGTGGCAGTTCTTTCTGATTCATTTTTATGATACTGATATATGTGTGTATATATATATTATTGGTCACTTTTAGAGTGTTATTTATAACATAGAATCAGGTAATATTGATGTCCAATTTGAGCTTTTAACTTGACCTTCAACTTTTAGATCTAGGATTTGTATTTCTACTCACTAACAAAATATTTCTTTCTTGGAACCAGTGGGAACACAGATTTTTTTTTTTTTTCCCCCTATCTATATCTTAGAAATATGCTCTGAGATAWCAGCTAGAGTATATTGGTATTGAGGGAAAAAAACCTCAACATTGATATATAGTTCTTGTCCTCTCGCTAGGGGGAAAAAAAAATCCTGAGAATGACAGGGTTATGGGATTCCCATTGCAATTAAAAGAATCACTTGACTACAGAATCATGAGGACTTGAGAGAGAAATTAGACTTTGTTCTTAGAATCAAGCTGCATTGTATATTCTCATTAGAAGTTTGATTTTTTTGCATCTCTTCTGGGAACAGAGCACCAATTTACTGAAATGGGAATTTGCTATGCAGAACAGCTGCAGACAGGAGACCTTGATGTAGCAAAAAAGCTTGATCCTTTCTTTCTCAGGTCTAAAGATGATAGACTTGCACAGTGGTGCAATAGTTCTTGTGTTTGTACATGTGTAAGGATATATATGCAAAGTATTGTTAAAACAACAACAAAAAATGTATGAGGCTTAACAGCAATTTATTAAATATTTGGGTGATATCCCAGGACTCGTCTGTATCCTCATAAACAGTCTTGCCAATACAAACAAGCCAGTGATAATCTCAACTGCTTATTCAAGTACCATTCATAGAAGGCAAAATTCCTCAGGCTGTTGGTATATAGGAGGTAAGCACGTGTCAAATGCCAGCCGTYGCTAAGGATGATGCCAGCTGGCTTGGTAATTATTTTTTCCTGAAATACATTGCACATCTAGTGCAAGTACCTGTAATTGTCCAGAGCAGGACTGGAATGTGTCCTTGGAGAAGGGCCAAAGGGCACCAGGGTGCAGGAGACCATGGGGAGGAGAGCGCTGAGGAGGTCTACAGCAGCCCTCCTCACGTGTGCTCTGTTCTTATCCACCTCAGCATGGGCTGTCTTGACAKTACAGGATGTTTTAGCTTAATTAGCAACTGGAGAAATTGTAATACTTTAAATTTTTTTTAATCTGTAATACTATGTTTGGAATTCCAATCTTAGTCTGTCTCTTTTGATGGATGATCATTTAATGATTAAATGACAGAGATTTGCATTGTAATTATGTAATATGGAAGAAGATACATTGGTTGCTGTTTGTGCTATTTTAAATGTGTGACTTCAATATTTATTTTTGTGAATGGTTTTGACACTAACTTATTTAAAGAGAGAGTGGATCAGCAGTAGGGAAACGTCATTTATTCTCCATATGCTGTAGTTTCTTCCTTGAATAGGATTGCTGCCTTAAATTCAGAACATAAGTTGAATGGTGACAGTGCTTGAGTTGTTCTGTGTAATGAAACAAGGTCACAGTCAATACCGACATAACAGCATTTAACTGGATATTACTCAATGCAGTATTTAAAAAACAATAGTGTAGTAATTCTGATTTTGTCTGTGTACAATTTTATTTTTCAGACTATAACTTTACAAACTCTGATTTTTGAGTTCATACTTCTACTGCTTTCTTTTTAGTTCCTTTTCTCCTGATTGCTAATTTAGAACTAGAAATTGCCAGATAAATGAGTACCTAAAACTTAGAAGGGAGGCTGAAGAGGTTTGCGCTGTTGTTGAATTTCTCTTTAAAAGAAGCTGTTGAGACTATTGGGTACACACTGGAAATGTTGGAGGCGGCAATGAGTTCTAATGTACTCTTCACAAGTAAAGCAAAACCTGAAAATAAATCATKATTGAATAAACAAGGCTTTTAATTTATGGTACAGTATTACAAGGTTAATTTCATCAAGAATAATCCACTGTATTAAGCTGATGACCAAATGTACACTTACAAGGATACAGAAGAGAAAGAAAACTGAACCATAATTCAGGAGGCCTTTCATGTCAAGGGCAATCAGCAATCTGTTATGAAAATTATTGGCTTATGAGCATAGCGGTAGGAAATTATATGCATCACATTTGGGTAGCTGCAGCCATTATGAGCTGGAAATGCTGTGCTCTTCACTTTAGCAAAGTTGAGGGAAACTTGAAATATCCCATTAGATAGCTCCAAACTGCTTATATGCATGCATATAAGATACATAGGTAAATACTGTGTTGCATGATCATGTCACCGACTTAGCAGTGCTTTGGGGCTCTTGCTTGTCTTCAAATACTTTTTTTTTTTTTTTGCTGCCTAAAGCCTCATTACTGTGATACTTTCCAAAACCCAGACCTACAGAAAATCAGGAAGGACAAATTCTGACCAAAAAGCTGATCATGTGCAATGCATATCCAGCAGAATCTGCTTGACTATATTGATATAGTCAAGATTGTGTTACTGAAAGATATTATTCAGTTAATATCAGTTAGCTGAATATATAATTCAGTTAATAAAACATGCTGCCTGGAACTAAATAGAGGATGAAGTAGTAAAGCCTGAAAATTGCACATAAAAAACAAAAGGTAAAACTGGTCCACCTATCRAGGACTGTTCCATCGTTTTACAAGAATTGTATTTTCCCCTTTTTACAAACATTTGTAAAACATTTTACAAACATTTTTTCTCCATTTATAAACACTGTAAATGAAAAGTTCATAATTAATAAAAGTATTTGTAGAGAAGAGCATCTTTTAAAGTATGGGTGCAAATATCAATAGCACATACTACATCCCTCTTGAAGTTAACATGCAAATGTTCTGCCATCAAATCCTGTTTTTAAATTAACATAGAAATATGTTGGGGTTTTTTGTTTTGTTTTTTTTTTTTTGTTTTCTTTTTTCTTCCTACCTTCCCTAGGCAAGGAGGAATTGGTGAAGTGTGTAGTGCAGATATCTGCAATCTCGCTCATTTAAATTCTCATCCTTCGTAGTGTCTAAAATACACTGAAGGCAATAGCATTTCCAACCTAATCCTTTCTGCAGACAATCTCCCAGAGGACTTCCTTGAAAGAATTTTTGCTAGTATGAGAAATAAATATCATGAAAAATTAATTGACTAACTGAAATAAAAGCAAATGCTAACTATGTGAAATTAATAATAAATAATAAATTTTAATCTGCCAGTACTCTAGTTAATCTGGATAAGAACAAAAGCATTTTTGTTCACTCATTTGTCATTCTGCAAGGAAAACCCTTCCCACTACCTTAACTAGGAAGAGGAGCAGGAAGGTAGATGTAGGTAAATTCTACAGTGTTATTTAAAAAAAAAAAAAAAAAAAACCCTTCCCACTACCTTAACTAGGAAGAGGAGCAGGAAGGTAGATGTAGGTAAATTCTACAGTGTTATTAAAAAAAAAAAAAAAAAAAAAAAAAAGGAGGCATTTGGATTGAAGATGCTGGTGTTTAGGGTTTTTTTTGTGTATATATATTAAAAAAAAAACAAAAACAAAAACACTGGCATGTATGCTATGGTAAAGAGATAAACTAGTCATTTGAAAATGACACAAATACTTTGAAAATGAAACAAATTCCTTGAGATTGGCCAGTGAGTTCTTGTGTGCTTTTAAAATGTATTTTTAGAGCAGAACTCTAAAATGTAGATCTTCAAAATTCCTTTTTGGCCAAATGGCCAAGAGAGGCTCTTCTACACCCCATTAACTGGTAAGAACATTTCATCTGTTTTGGATGACCAAAAGATGACAAAAGAATGAATCAAAATGTCTCAATTTACCATTTTGACAATTTTGTCAGAGAAGATGTTTCTCTCGATATCTATAGAGCTGTGAGTGAAATAATAAAAATAAAACCAAATATTTAATTATTGCTACTGCTGGAGTGAGTAGAGGCTTTTACTCTATATTCACAAGCTTTAGAATTGTGAGACCTTCTGGTGCCAGGGTTCCCTGATGAGCAAAACAGTTTTGTCAAAAACTGTTGGTTTCCTAAACCTACCTGACTTATTGAGAACTCCTCCCACAATTTTTCACGGACAGAAATTTATTTCTTTCTGAATAGTTGTGAGGAGCTCACGGTTGCTTTTGTGTTCACCTCCTCTCCTCCGAAAGGCTTTAGTATCCTTTACCCATTGGCTTTGATCGGCCTTTTCCGGAGGACAGGAAACCTTGTGTTGTGGCCAAGGCTGAGTACGGCCGTGTGGGCCGTGTTCATCTCACTAATGTCCTCCTCCGTCTACTGTAACATCTGCTCTTCTGGCTTCCGCGTTGTGTACCTTTTGCCAGTGTAAACTTCCAGAATAGGGAACCTTCCTGATGAGCAAGCCACAGAGCTAAGAAAGATGACTGCTTTTA